CAATTTCACTGGAATAAAAGTCGAAAGAACAATAAATGAGGTGAAACTTGCTCCGTTTGCGCAATTGGTTACAAATCTCTTATTATGTTGCATTTGCTAGCATATTGAATTTGTTATTATAGATTCTTATTATTATACTTTGTATACAAAGCAATGATCATTGTTTATTACTTAATAACTGATGTGCGATTAGAATTTAGCCGTCTGAACTTGGACTGTCGAGCTGTAGATTGCAGTTTATCCATATACTACCGTTTGTCCGTATACTTACCCAGGTGCCCTTAGATGCCTGCACGGTTGTGGCATGCGAAAAAAACGAACACTTAAAGGAAAGTAGAGAGTATTAATAAATGAAATACTTTCTAATCAATATCGATCAAAACCTTTCCGAAACTCACAGCACTTGGTCACAAAAGTTTAAATCACTGCCATAGGCAAACTGATCATAGATGGAGAGTATTGAATTTTATCTACAAGCTGTAGAAGAGGGCAGCAGTGGACAAGAGTTAGGAGGATATATAGGCAACATTACCGGCGTAAATGTTTCACGGATATGTAGAACACATCTACAACGTATACTCGGTATACTCCGCACTCTGGAACGTAACTATACACGCATATTCAGACTTAGGTTTCAGAAATACTGTCACTGACTGTCACATAACATAAGCACTGTGCATCTTCTTGTTACAAATGCGTGCAATTAATACTGAACGTTAGCAGTTTCTCTACTCCTTTCGTGTAGATTCTCGCATCGTTTGACGTTTCACGAATTTAATGGTAAGTCTCTATCACGTGTAAAGAATACGTGTACATATTGTTTTCAGAACAGTTTAGATACAGATTTATTTTCATAACACCCGTTCGTCTACACAATTTAACGATTCATTTAAATTCTCACTTAATTAAACGACGTCAATACATTTTTCTATCGAATTTATATAGGAACAGTATCATCTGGCCTTAAACTTGATTAGATTTTTTTTAACACGCTCTACTTACTACCGCGTCCGAGAATCCTCGTTACAGTTATAAAAGTAGTTGTATATTGTACAATATTATTCTGTAATCCACAGTAGTTGTAAAAATATACAATGTAAGTCCGAATATACGTCTATACATTTCTGTGTACGTAAATACATTACACGTCATATACGTGCGTACATGTGGGCATTTATATTTTTATTTTTTTTAATACTCTTAATACGTTTTATCTGATTTATATTATCACTCCGTTATCTTCCTTTTTTACATAGCTTTATGTCTGTATCACCAAACATTATAAGTATTGTACTCTTTATCGATGTTTCAAATTTTATGAAAAAGCATCGATTAGATTACTTTGACAGTATCGTGCTGTAAACACATTTGATGTACTTTGTATTGTTCATTTTTCTGTTTAATGTATAATATTATAATATAATTTCTGTCAATACATAAATGTATAAGATGCAAAATGAAAATAAGTGATTTTTTCCAATTTTTAACACGTGTTTGTGTATTTTTATTGTGAAAACGTGAGACGAATACCGTGACCTAGAATTAAGGAAATTCATCTTAAGAAATAGCTTTCACTTCGAACAATTAACATTGTATGTAGTGCATGAAAGAATCATTTCACAAGATGTATGTACAATATTTATATAGATTATTTAGCGAAGGTAAGAAGTGCATCCAAATAAAAAAATAATACGTATGCATTCTGTATGTCGGACGAATGAAGAAATCTTATTTTGTTTTAGCGTATTTCAGATAGATAATACTACAATGGATATCGATATGTCTGACATGGAAGAAGATGAGGTATTTATACAAATAAACTTAATTTATCGTCAATTATATCGACTTAGACACACAACTTAATACGTTTCAACGTTCAATTTTAGTTCCAAGATGCTCACGAATCTCTACCGCAGTAAGTATCACAGAGAGATATATCAGAGACAATGACATAGAAATGTACTTGCATACTACGAACAGTTAATCTTTTATCCCAAGGCCTACTTCCATGGATTTGGATACAGCGATAATGGAAGCAAGGAAAGCGATACATTGTTTTTTCAATAATGATTTCGACGAAGCGAGGAAGATTATGGAACCATGGGCGAACAGCAGCATGTACCATTCCTTAGGAACGAGCGTATTCGCATTTCTGGAGGCTATTCTCACATTCGAACAAGTATTACACAATCTAATTAAGGGATAAAGCCACTCAACTACCTAAAAAAATAGTTTTTATCAGAAATAGTGAATGTAATATAAAATCTGTTTGGAAGCTGCAGTCAAAATTTAAATGAACCAATGATTTCACATAGCATTTTTCATAGTATTACGTTCACTATTCTCATAAAGTAGCCTATTTTTCTGTGTGGGAAAGTTCCTTTATCCTTTAAATCAAACTTGTTTTTTTCTTGTGATTGATATATTGGAACATGTCTTGCTCAGAGTCACATTGAAAAAGCAGCAGTAGCTGTAAGGCAGTGCATGACCGTATGCTTGAAACAACGTAAACACACGACACTAACGCAAAATATTGGCAAAATGGTCAAGAGGACTAACTACGATTCTTACACAATTGGTAATGTACCGCATTATACATTTAATGTATGTACGTGTGTGTTATCTATCACCTGGCTATATCTGTAAAGCATGATTTATCAAGCTACTGGTAATTACTACAATTACTTCTCGCATAGAAGACACCGTCTGTCTTTATATAGTTATCTGAAAGGCATGTAAATCTAGCATAGTTTCAATTTGTTAGCAGATTATGTAATTTATTCTAGCAGTTTCAAATTTCAAGTGCACATTAGCTGATTAGTAAGCATTATTAAAATTATCTGTTTTATACTTTGATATAATTTACGTCAATCTTTAAAATTAGAATTAATTATCGCTTTAGCTGGTAGATAGTACGTAGATTCACAGGAGTGACAAAAAATTATTATTGCAGAGGAAGTGCATGCAGAACTCTGTTATGCTGAATCACTCCTTTTAAAGTCGATGTTAACGTTTGTGGAAGACGAGACATTGGTCAGCTTCGTCAAGGCTGGATTGAAAATTCGTACCTGCTATTTGTCCTATAAGTAAACGAACATATTTACATGTAACTCATATATCGGGAATTACGCGCCGTTAATAGTTAAAAGATCTAAAAATGAATAGGAATCGTTTTATAGTTATCTTTTTCGTTGGCACAGGGAATGTTTAACGATTTTAAATAACCGTAAATGGGAAAGCGAGGCTCATAGAATACATTTCGAGAGTGGTGTTCGTACCGGTATCGGTGCATTTAATTTGGTATGTATAATTATTCTGTTTAAGGATGTTATGGCTATAAGTAAAAATAATGCCGTGTAAACTCTACTGATCAATTTTTAGATGATCTCGCTGATGCCGGCAAAAATTATTAAACTCTTAGAGTTCATTGGATTCTCGGGTGATAAGGTAACAATATGGACATGTACTACCATAAATATTCATACTCATTTAAAAACTGAACAACTTCTTTAATGTTGGACCTTCAATTAACGATTAAACGTGTACAAGTTGACGTTCCTCTTAACAGGACTATGGTTTATCGGAACTAGAAGCAGGGTATAAAGAAAGAGCAGGATTGCGACACGTATTGTGCGTAATGATTCTTTTGGCTTACAATCTGTTGGTCACATTCATTTTGAGTCATTCGGACGGTGATTTGGACTGGTGTGAAAGAGTCCTGGAGGAGGAACTAAGCCTTTATCCAAACGGTGTATGGTTCTTATTTTTCAAGGGTAGATTAGAGTTAACGAGAGGGAATTTCGAAAGTTCCGTAGATTGGTATACGAAGTCTTGGAAGAGCCAAGATTTATGGCCTCAATTTCACCACATATGTTTCTGGGAACTAATGTGGGCGCACTGTGCACTGCAACAGTGGAGTCAAGCCTCAACGTTCGCCAATATTCTAGCTACAGAATCAAATTGGTCGAGGACTACTTATTTCTATCAGAGAGCGGCGACGCTTATTATGCAAAACCCTCCATCGAACAGCGAGGAGAAGCAAACGATAGACACTCTGATGATGCAGGCACCTACTCATAAACAACGTATCGCCGGAAAGTCTTTACCGATGGAAAAGTTTGTGATTAAAAAAACTAAACGGTATTTTGCTCAAAAGAAAAGACTAGTCCTGCCTATATTTGAACTTATGTACGTATGGAATCTGTTTCGCACAGTAGGGAAACGTCAAGATTTAACGTTGAACATGTTCAAAGTAATCGAAGACGCTGAAAAGGAACTCGCGAGAGCCCCGTAAGTTTTGTAGGGTGAATTCGTTTATTTAACTAACTGCTAACTAACGAGTATTAAATATTTTGTAGAAAAACCGAATTTCATGCGGACAATGAAGGACTTATATTGCTTCTTAAGGGTGCCTGTTTACGGCAAATGAAGCACCCTTTATTGGCTGAGAATTGTTTGAGGCGCGTTCTGGAATTAGATAAATCCATCAAAGAAGACACGTACTTACTCCCTTACACAACGGTAGAACTAGCTTTATTGGCGCACGATCAAGGGAACGTTCCACTCGCTATCACATATTTAGAAGACGCTAGGTAAGCATTTTAATACATTTAATTTCTCTTACATATAATTATGTATGTTAATAATCTGTTCTCGTTCTACTCCCTGTCCCTCTCTCACTCTTTCCCGTCCTTTCCGGTTTGCTTGTGTTTTTCTACAGAAAAAATTATTCTGGTTACGTATTGGAGTCCAGGCTACATTTCAGAATTCATTCCGATCTGATGACACTGACTGGAAAGAAACCCGAAGATATTCTATCATAATACAGAGTATATTATATTGTACCTGAGGAATAAGTTTTCTGCTCGGGAGTTACTGCCAATAGCACCACTATTGAAGATTCGGGCAGTATCGGGCTAAGCTGACAATTTTATTCAAGAAATCCTACCACAAGGCTTTTACTCCTTTCGTATCTCCTTCGTTCATCAGCTATTTCTCTGCCATTCACCTGTTCTCCAATTTTTGTTATCGAATGTGCCAGTGAAATAGCTATGGGACGCACGATATTTTATATACAAATATTGTATAAACAAATATCTCCAGTAGCTGATATTCGTCTAATGTTAAATGTGCACACACACGTTGCAATCGAATAAGAAAAGGTCTAGGAAAATACTTATAGATTTATTTATTTTTTCAATTTAAATTATTTTTATTATAACATGTATACTAGTGACAAATAGTAATATATGTGTAAGACACAAAAGTTATAATAAATTATTTAATATGTTATAAAGGAGATCTAGTATGTGGGAAAGAGGAAATTGGTAATAAAATTTAATTTATCACTGATCAAGTTGTCTCAAAATTGATACCCAATACTGGCATTTTTAATGAATTTATTTTAATATCGTTAATATTTAAAGCTACAAGAGGTCCCGAGGTACGCCTTCCCGTCGTTTGAAAATCGGCAGTCTCTTTAATCGCGATTTGACGTCCAGTTCTAGCGATATCGTCGCGTGAATGCAAGCATAATTTTTTCGGCGCCGCTATTGTTGTTCTCATATGTTGACCGGCTCGCGGACCTACCTCAATCCCCACCAACCGGTTTAGGTGTACTGTCACTGTCCTCACCAAGTTGCTGGTGGAGGGGACATGGGATGCAATTTTCTGGCAGCACTGCAACTGATAGCCGTAACTTCGTAAGTTACTGTGCCAGAAATATTGAACGCGGCGTCTAAACTTTGGAACGTGATATAAGTACTACGGAATGGATCGTGACGTCGGGATGAATCAAAATCGATTTTTTCATCTAAATTAAATTGCTCTATTATACTTTAATTGAGTAAAATCTAAAATGGTATTAGGGTTGCAATAAATAACAGCCAGAATTAAATTGTAGGTAACAGGTTTATTTAAAAAAAATTGTATACTTAAACTATGTTACAAAAGAAACAAGTTACACGAAGAAAGTGACTGACATTTTCGAAATGTATGAAACGATAAGAAGTAGGAACAGAAAACTTGGCGTATGTATGAACAATCTTAAAGACTAAAAATTCAAGCCTCTTATTTACTTCTTCTCTTCTTTCTTCTCCTCCTCCTCCTTTTTCTTTCCCTCGGCAGCCTCCTTTAATGCCGGCTTCCCGGTCTGTTCGATCTTAATGGACCTCTCGCCTTCGCTCTTTGGTTGCTCCTTTCTGGGTGCGGTGATGCTAAGTACTCCGTCGGACGATATCGTCGACGTTACCTGGTCGATGTCGCACTGTTCAGGAATTAAATATTTCCTCGTAAACTGTCTGGAGATCCATCCGTGCTCGTCCTTCTTCTCTTCGTGCTTGCCCTCGACGATCACACATTTGTCTACGACTTTGACGTTGATCTCGTCGGGTTTGAATTGTTGCACGTCCAGGACCACTTGGAACTTGTCCTTATCCGCTTTGACGGTGGACGTGCCTCCTCCTTCGGCGTTTCGCAGGAGTTCTCCCCAAGGTCGCCAGTAGAACAGAGGACTTCTCATCATTCTTCTGTCCCGGCTAGGCATGATGTAATGGTCGAGGATGTTCGGGTTCAATAATTGCTCCGGGTGTAAACCTAAGCCGAAGTCCTGATCGAAAATCCGGTGCGGCCTGTCCAGGTCTTCCCACCAGTCAGAAAACAGCAACGGTACCAGAGACATTTTCTCCTTGATTTATTTCTTCTTGTCTTGAGCACGTAAAGATTGATTATACTTTATAAAATCGGTTTGGAATATCGCTTTTAACTGTCACCTCGATGCGCTCGCTTAGAACGTCTGAACTTCACTGTTGCCACGGTTTCGGTCGCAGGTATTTATAAGCGTACCGGCCGGCCGGCGTTACTGTGCTATGTACAGAGCGTCCAGAACATTCGCGATTCGATGTATTCGAGAAAATTCAGTATTTTATTTATCTTGCACGGCACTTTCAGTAACGTACATGATTTCTAGAAGGTTCTTTCGAAAATTCACGTACAGTAATAACGTAAATCAATCGTAAATCTCGTAATCAAACGCTTTCTTATATCCAACGTCACAACCGCTATCTGCTTCGCTTTACTAAACGCTGATTCTAAGTAATTTTCGTTATAAAAATGGAATATTATTCAAAAACTGTATTAATACTTTTCTGCGAATATGCGAAAACATTCTATATACGTATATAATGAATGTTAGAACAAAGTTGTGACATTCTCTGGCAGTTTTTCCATTTCCAAAGTTTCTATTAATTCGAAGTAATGCTCGTATGTGCCAAATGTTGCTGCATCAACGTACAACGGTTTAATTTATATTTATCGCGTTTCTCATTTTAGAATGTATGATACAAAATTTATTTAATTTGTATGATACAAAATTATCGTTTTGAAATAGGTTCCTGCTACCTACGTTAATAATATTATACAAAACGTACTTCGCACGTAAACACGATTCGAATCGTGCAGTTTATCAGTTGCTCGCTCTTCTTATCATCAACACCACTGGCAGAGCGTTGTTGATTGTACAATACCGCTCGTTATTAATTCTTCAAATTATATGTTAGAAAAAACTCGTAAGTAAAAATAATTGCTGGCAGTCAATTGGTTTAAATTCTATGTTACGTAAGTACAATTTCATTCCAAGACAGAAAATGATGGGAAATTATCGATACTAGAGAATGAATTATTTTTTTATACGTGCGTAATGGTTTCAGGGAAAACTCTAGGTATTTCTAAAACATTCCTTGAAGTAAATCGGATTTATGACTCATCGTCTCCCTCGCAATTAAGCCTATTTACAGAGGCACTAAAAATGTAAGCGTATTGTTTCTTTCTGAGGGATATAAAAAATATTACAGGCAATAAGGTAGAACGTTTTAGAAACGTTCGGAACTCTGCAGACGCACCGAGGTGTTATACGCGAGATTTTTATTGTAACATAATTAATATTTTCAAAAGACCGTATTATGCGTTATAGAACTATTAATAACAATTTCTTAGATTCTCTTACGAGTAACACGTGCTTTGTCTTTTTTTTTTAATGCGCATAGCATTAAATTCGATCTTAACCGTTGCGGTATTTAACATCTTGAAATGCCCGTGAGTTCGTGATATAAATAAACCTAAGCTATATACGTCTAACTGAAATCGCACATACGTACGTACAATACATACAGTACATACATGCATACATGATCTGAAAGTAATCTCTTTAAGTAATAAATTGCACATATTGATAATAGGACATGAATTTAAGTTCAACGTTCGAAACGTTGCATATACGTCGAACGTTCGTACAACGTCTGTACGTTGAGGTCAATGTTCCCCACTTCCGACTACAAGCATCCTCAAGATCGATATGAGCGCGCAAAAGCATAACGTTTACTACTAATTCAAGGTTGATGGACCAGGGGTCCAGGACAATTAATAAAAAGTTTCATTCATATATACAGTGAATATTACTATATGATTTCTCTTAAACAATAAATTATCTTATTACATGTATACTAAAATAATTACATAAATACATATAATAAGCTAACCCGTATAATGCACGTTAATTTATTCATTGGCATTTTCATTTTTACACACGATTAAGCTAGACGTCTTCATCATTCAAGGTATTGAAACCACCTACTGCATAGTATAACACATTACTCAGTAATACTGCCAGGCTGATGCAATGCTATTCAATTTGACAGAATAAGTTGATGCAATAAACAATTTTGTACAGAAACCGAATGGTTAGTCTTGTAATTTCTAATAATATCTATTCGTTTTAAATAAACATTTAAGGATGTCTTGGCTATACAGTCAATCCCAAAAGTTTATGTCCCTTAGAAAAACGCATTTCCTATAATTAAAAAGAA